TTAGTCAACACTAGAGGCTCCATCAATTGAGCCGGCCCTGCCCAATCAGAGTCCCTTCACACTGTAGATCGGGACAAAATCCCAGTAATTCACTTCAGAGCTAAAGAGGTAAAACAGTTTGGATTAATCCTGCCTCAAGCAAAGGCAAACCCATTCGTGGCATTGTTTTTGCTCAAGGATCAGGTAGCACGTGGTGGGTAACGCTGGAAGATGGAGAAACCCGGTGCATATCTCAAGGGGACCTCATTTTTGGGTAAATTTCCTATAACATTGTGCCTGTATTTGTATGTAAACATTTGTAATATGTATATAGTTGGGGTAATGTATGTATGTATGTATGTATGTATGTATAAGGTTCGAAAGTTTGAATCCGATATAGCATGTTAGTATGGGAAAAAATTCAGGGATGGATGATGTCAAAGATCTGAAAAGAGGTGTTGAAATTTTTTCCCAAATGCCCCCCCCCCATCTGTTTCTTCTGGGGAAGGGGGGGTGCAGGGAGGGGATGGAGCAGGGCTGCACGAGCTGGGCAGTGCAGGAGCAGGGGAAGGGGGAGCGCTCTTGGGAAACAGAGGTTGCTGCAGGGACAGTTGGGGAGTCCTTTGTTCATGGGCTTTTGGGTTTGGTCCACGGACCAGAGAGACTGGGAGCCTGTTTTTCAGATGCCTCCTTTTTTCTTCCTGAAAGGAAGTTTTTTTCCCCGCAGGACACCTAGCAGAGGACAACTGAGAGAGAGAGAGACCGATCCATCTCAGAGTGAGCTATTCTGCTTTTGAAACTGCCTGGGGGAAAACTTTTTTTCATTGCTGGTTGCAAGCACATGTGGCTGTGAGCAGCTTTTGAACTGCCAGGACAGTCCTGCCTTTCCCCCCCTCCCCAGGTTGCTGTGGGTTTCTCCCCTCCCCACCAGGGATTTGGGACTTTGTTTTGTTTCTCCTGAAAGTTTCTGATTGCACCATTTGTTGTTTATTCAAGTTTTGTTCATAAAATGCTGTTTCTTTTCCACATTTCCACCTGAAGTTTCTTAATTTCTAAGTTGTAATCTTGTTAAACTAAGACAAATTTCTTCATAAAAAGGGTGATTAGATATTGGAATGGGCTGCCCAGGGAGGTGGTGGAGTCACTGTCCCTTGAGCTGTTCAAGGAAAAACTGGACGTGGCACTTACTAGCTGACAAGGTAGCATTTAGTCATAGGTCAGACTCAATGACTTCAGGAGGTTCTTTTCCAACCTAACTGATTTTGTGATTCTGTGATTCTGACTTCCCCCCCTTGCCTTACCTATGACTCCTTTGCCTTACCGCACCCGCCATTCCTTTGCCTTGCCTTGCCTACACCTCCATCGCCTTGTCTTCCCCCTTCCTTAACTTCCCTTTCTTTTCCTACCCCTCCCTTGCATTACCTTGCCAAAAGTCAAGGGAGTAGTAGGCAAGGCAAGGAAAAAACAGGGTAGGTCACTTAATTTAATGAGACTGAAGTGTTTTGCTAAGGAGGATGAGTTATGAGGAAGACCAAGCTCCTCCCTCTAAACAATTGTAAATCTGAAATTGAGAGGCTCCAATTGAGGAAGTATGGAGAAAGAAAAAATAACAGCCTTTTAATGAAAGTATATATATGTAATGGCAAAAAAACCAAAACAACATAAAACCAACCAAACAATAATCCTGCACCCAAAAGTCCCCTTCAAAAAGGGAAACAGTTCAGTACTTTCTGCCTTTTTTGTACAATTCCAACCACAGTCAGCAGGGGATGCTGTTGGATCGCTGGAGAAGCAGAGCCTGCAGTTGCTCTGTGGTGGCCACCAGGGGGCGCTGTTGGGTTCTGGTGGTCATCACCCGGGGCCCCAGTATGTGGGAGAAGCCGAAATGGAGATCTCCCCCCACTGAGAAGGGTAAGGGGAAAAGGGGAAAAAGGGGGCTCTTCCCACAAAATTCACACTGGCTGTGGCTGGCTGTGGCCAGGATTTCCCTCCTTTCATCAATGGACACAAACCCCTGCCAACACGGGAGCAGAGGAGGGAAAGGGTGACCTCCTCCACAAAAGGTTCCTCTGCAGGTAGGTCAAACCTCTCTGATGAAGTCTGAGCAGGTCTGAGCTGGAGGCAGAACAGGGTGCAGGAAAGCAGAGGCAAACCAGGGCCAGAAACAACCAGGTGAGCAGGCCTAAAACAAAGTGAACCTTCGACCCCTCCACACACACCTTCCCTGAGCTACGGCAGAAGTGAAGTGCCTCCCATTTCCGAGGAGAGAGAAAAAACCCAACAACTCATCACCCTTCTGCAAAGTCTTTGGAGGGCCATCAGCTTGGAATGTGGATCTGCTGGTTAGTTCTTCTGGGGGCGTCAATCACCCACGGCAAAACTACCCTCCCCTGTTCAACATCATCCCCTTACAGCGATGCAAGGGAAAGAAAAACTCCCTGTCTGGTTTTTTAGAACGAGTAAACCTGTGACAGTAGGCAAGGCAAAGGATGTGTATGCAAGGCAAAGCAAGGCAGCACTAGGTAAAGCACGGCAAAGAAAGGGACAGACAGGTAAGGCAAGGCAAGAGAAGGGAGGCGGGCAAAGGAAGGCAAGAGAGGGACAAGGCAAGGCAAGAGAGGGGCAAGACAAAGATAGGGAGGGGCAGGCAAGGCACGGCAATGAAAGGGTGGGCAAGAGTAGGCAACACAAGGAAGAAGTAGGAGAGGCAAGGAAAGGCATGGGAGGGGTAGGCAAGGAAAGGCAAGGGTAGGCAAAGCAAGACAAGGCAAAGAAGGGCCAAGGCGAGACAATGGAGAGACAAAACAATGGAGGGGCAAGACAAGGGAAGAGCAAGGTAAGGCAAGGGAGGAGAAAGGACAGGCAAGGTGTAAGGACTTACAGTGTACAGTTGCCTGTCTCAAACACTGTTAAGGCCACAGAGGGACTCTGCCATGAGATAAGCACAGAATGGAGTGACAGGGTAGCACTAACTCCACACCTGAGAGGCAAGATCTGGTTAGTACGTTCTGGGTAATGCATCCAGACAAAAATTGTTGCAAATTGCCACTGTTGCAAAGTGCTCGTATGCATATCACTGGTCAAAGATGACGCCAAGTAATGGGACAGCTGGCATCTGCAACCGCTAACGACCACTCAAGCCTCCCAAATATACCTCCATTGATAAGCTACCCACAGTGGGAACGTGAGCTAAAAAATAATAAAGGTGGTACTGTTATCCAGGTGTTGCCTCAGACTTAGGGGCAAGCTGATGGAGCTTGGGGAGAGAAGGAGATCACTGATAATGGACACAAGGAGTGCAGAATTTATGGGACACTAGGAAAGCCATCTCAACTACTATGCTGAAATCAGCTCCCACTGGGTAAAAGGTAATTCCGCCACAGGGAGATTGTGACCACCAACCCAAGAAACCCACCGACTCAGAAGCCTGAGCATGCCAACTAATTAGCATTAGAAGCAAGAGAATCATTTAACCATTAGGAGAACTGTGTGGCCAATAAGCATTACTTCCTTTGTTTGCTAAAATGTATAAATAGTGAAAAGTTTTGAATAATCCTTTGGATCCCCACCACCAAGAAGCCCAGGGTGAAGAAGGACCTGTCTCCCTCTGTCTCTCTCCTCCTACTCTTTTCTATTTCTTTCTATCTCTCTACCTCATATTTACTGTTAAATAAGATTTGTATTACTGACTTTGGCATATGGTCTCATTTGCAGCCTAATTTGGGCAGAGGCACCTCTCACCAACTAGATCATAACACAAGGAGGGGCAAGGCAAGGAAGGTCAAGGGAGAAGCAAGGCAAAATAAGGAAGGGGAGGAGCAAGGAAAGGCAAGGCAAGACACAAGGTGAGGTATGGCAAGACAAGGCAGGGGCAAAGCAAGGCAAGGGAGGGGTAAGGCAAGGCAAGGGAGGGGTAAGGCAAAGGAGGGGTAAGGTAAAGCAAGTCAAGGCAAGGAAAAGCAAGGCAAGGGAGGGAAAAGGGAGAGGGAAGGAAAGGGCATAGGAGGAGCAAGAAAGCGGAAATGGAGGGGAAAGAGAGAAGCAGGGAAGTCAAGGAAAGGGAGGGGCAACAGAGAGGTAGTGGAGGGGCAAGGCGTGGGAGGGCCAAGATAGGGGCAAAACATGAGAGAGGAAAGAGAGGAGCAAGTCAAGTCAAGGCAAAGCAAGGCAAGAGAGGGCCAAGGCAAGGGCAAGGAGGGCCAAAGCAAGGAAGCAGAAAGAGAAAGGCAATGGAGCAGCATAGGAGGGCCAAGTCATTGCAAGGCAACAGAGGGTCAAAGGAGGAAAAAGAGAGGGGCAAGGCAGGGGCAAGAAAATGAAAAGAATGGGAGGGGGCAAGGGAGGGGCAAGGCATGGGAGGACAAGGCAAGGGAAGAGGCAATGGAGGGGCAAGGCAAGGCAGGGCAAAGCCAAGGTAGGGAGGGGAAAAAGAGAGGCATGACAGGGGCACTGGAGGGGCAAGTCAGTGCAAGGCAAGAGAGGGGAATGGGAGGTGCAAGAGAGGGGCAAGGCAGAAGAGAGACAAGGGAAGGAAAGAGAGGGGCAAAGGAAGGGCAAAGAAGGCAATGCAAGGAAAGGATGAGCAAGGGAGAGGCAAGAGAGGGGCAAAGCAAGGCAAGGCAGGGGCAGGCAAGGGATGGCAATGAAAGAAGGGGTGGGTAATGGTCAGCGACACATGGGAGAAGCAGGAGAGGCAAGGAAAGCCATGGGAGAGGCAGGCTTGGCAAGGCAAGGCTTGTTGAACCAAGACAACCTAATGTATTTCTTTTTCAGGTTGGCCGTCTTCAATCAGAGATCTCCAAGCAGAGGTGCTCGGGCACAGAGGCCTTGATACAAGGGTTAGGGATAGTTTTCATCCATGCCTTGCAAAGTTTTCGGACCAAACCAACTCAAAGTAGCAAAATTGCAACAAAACAAACTCAGCTAATACGTATGCATTAAGATCCCCTGCACAAAGGGTTTGTGTGCACAAATACTCATAAGCAAATAGTAACAGATGATACTGTAGCCAAACCAAAAGATTATGTAAATTGTAAAGATGAGTATATGAATTGTCTTAAAATTACATATGAGGAAACGAGCGGTAACACAATGCAAAAACGTAAAAATTAGCTTCTTTCAATGCAGCAGATTAGTAACATAAAAGGAAAAACTGTATTGGACTAACTCTGTAACACTGATGACATTAGTACAAACTTGTCAATTTACACCAACAAAGAAAGATTCAGCAAGAACTGACTGATCTCAGAGGTAGAGTTGCTTTATCTTTTGGATGGATTGTTCCCACCAATCTTCCCAACGCTGAATTGCCAGCAGCTGAGCTGCACTTTCTTCTTTGATCTGGGCAAACAGCTGCTCAAGCTTACATTTGTATTTCTGTAGAAAAAACAATTAAGGACAAAATCGGTAGTGACAAAATATAAATTTACTTTGCCTAAATCCAGGTCCTGATCCACTCTGCCAGAAGACTGCATAGAGGCCACTTATTTTCTACCTTTGTCAATATATGAATAATTAATTATTCACCGTGTCCCTTCTGTCCTCCTTTTAAAGACTTCTGGAACTAAATTATCAGCAATATTTAAATTTTGCGGAAGTGCAAGATCTTCATCTCACTTCCATTAGCTCCTAAGATTAGAGCATTGCCTACCCTTGAGACCCACCCTGTATGCAGCTTGTCTCACATCCAACACTGCGAGTTGGCCCAGGGTAGTCCGAGTTGTTGAAACTGATGCAGTTCCTCTGCAAAGAACATAGTCTGGAGTTTCATGAAGAGTAGTCTTAGGTATTCCTGGCCAAGTCCTTTAAAAAACCAAGCCAACCAACCAAAAAACACAAGAGACAGAAACTTAGAAAAGAGAGTGTATCATACTAATTATTGTCACTTGTGCTAAAGTGCAAAGGATCAATTTTGGTTTTTTTTAATCTCCACAAAAGGTTTACACTAAAAATTTCTTTGTTTAGTACAACCACCTTTTCTTTTAAAACTTCAGGGTGTCTACACAGTATTGAGTTCTTATCTTCTGAATGACAATACACAGTATATTCATAGATCTGAAAGTGCTGAACTGATAACTAGTGGCTAGCAAGTGGCATAGTAATAGCCATGACATTGTATTGTTTTGCAATACAATATGTAATTCTCTTTTATTTGGATCCGTTGCTATTCTTTCTTTAAAATCACCAACCACCCAAACTGCCCCATAACTAGTTCAATGACATCACGAAGGATGAGCAGAGTGTAAGTGTAGAAAACCCTTCCAGAAGATTTTACTGAGTTTTTCACTTAAGAAAGCTTTCCTGCCCGGAAAGAGGCATCTTTCCCAGTGACAGCTTTCTCTTTCTGCATTCCAGAGAAGCTCTCCCTGGTATGAGAAAAGATAAGCTGTCACATAAACATTTGAAGGCTGGGGGTGCTGGGGACACTAAAAGGCCTGAGAAGAACAGGAGGCATGTCTTTTCCTAGGCCCAGTGCAGTTTTGTGCTGATATGTTAAGCGTTCTTAACTTTTGAAAATAAATTCTCCTAATTCCTTCCACTGCCTGATATCTTTGGAGTACCTGCATGTATCTGAGCCTTACAATAAGTGTTCAGCAGCTTCATCAAGTGCAGCAAAAAACTATGAGGACAGTGCCTGTTATCAATTTAGAGAAGAGAAATTAGAAAGAACAGTGTTCAGTATCTTCAAATATTACCTCCTCCCTTGTTTGATTAACTGTTGAACTTTAGAGGTTTCTAGAGGAAGTCCAGCTTGTTTACGATGGATTAAAGTCGACAACTTCTCTCTAGTTATTTCAGTTTCTGGGAGATAACAGAAGATCTACTCAGCAAAAGCAAAACAGTGGCAGAAACATGATTGTTTTGGAGTAACTATATGCAGCTTGATGCTCTACACTTTCAAGAAATAGCTTTGTGTGCCTTATTATACAAATCTTTCCATTTAAAATATTATAGCATATAAAAGCCTCTTCTTCCTAGGGGCGGTCTGCTGCAGTCTTTGAAAAGGAAGAGAAGGCCTGAACAAGCAATTTCTTCTTTACTTACCTGCTACTTGTATGTCACCAGAAGTGATGGTTTCATCTAATTCCAAGAGCAGCTCTTCAGTGAGGGCAGCCAGTGCAGAAAAAAAGCTCTGAGCACACTCAGCAGCACAGTCCTGTTAGGATATTGGAGACAAGTGAGAGAAATTCTTTTGATGATTTGATCTCCTGTCCTTTTAATTTGGCTCCAAAAGAACTACACAAGTATCCAACCTTGACATTTTGCAGCAGGTGCAGATAACAAAGCTTGAAGTTGCACATGAAAGGGTCTCAAAGCATCTCTCTGCAGTATTCTTAACACTGCCTGATCATTTAAAGTTCACAAAACTGTAGAGTTCTGTGCATGGGTAGCCATTAGTTATATATTTGTGTTAAACCTGAGAAACATAACTGTCTGTAAATGCATCCTTCTTCCCAAAGCAAAGAGTACTTTGGGTGGAAGTGCTTTGGGCAGGTGTTATTCTGAAAGAGGGTATCTGTGTTTCTGTGTCTGTATGCAGAGTTATGAGTAGAAGGAGCTCTTACTTTGGAATTAAAAATATACTGTGCAGACAGTATAGAATTTGGAGTAAGTGGCCTGAGAGAAGAAAATAAAAAAAAGAAAAATTCTGCTTATTCCACTTCTTAATCTTGTGTGGAAAAGTGTCAATTATTTGCACTAATGAAATGCACAGAGAAGAAACCCTTCCAGGCATCTGTTGTCTGCAAATAAGAGAACTAACCAGAGGATGTCACCCCTGCAGCTAACACTCCTACCTACAATTAAGCTCCTAGCCAGTATGCTCTATGAATGATCCAAAAGATCAGTCAGGTCCATGATAAATCTATACACATGTATGAGTGCATATGTACTCATGGCAATATTGATCTAACGTGGACAATACAAAACTTAAAAGTTAAATGATATATGACCAGGATTGCCTCAAACTGAAAACATTTTCAAGTTTCCTTTAGATGGGGAGGAAAAATGTACCCAAAATGCATTCTCCTTTCCAAATGCAACATTTAAGTTGACAGCAAGCAAGGGTTTTACAATTACCTGCAGCATCTTTGTGTTGAGATGAACACCATCAGTTTGAGCTTTTTGTCTTTTTATTTCCTCTTGGCACAAAGCCTCCAGCTGAAGGGAGTTGTTTGGGTGTCCCAGAGAGTAATGTAATTTTCTCTGGTGCACAGTCTTTAAGCAAATACATAAGAAAGAAATGCCTTCAGTAAATAATGTACTTTGAGTCATGGTAAGGAAGAAGTAAAAGCAAAACATTTTACATAAAAGTATTCAGAAAGACAAAGAAAACAGCTATTTCAGGGCTTGTTTTCAGTAAATAATCATCTCTCCTATCAAGTGGTAAAGAAGATACTTTTTATCTCTCTACATTTGTAATTTTTTCCTAAATTTAACTTAATACTCAGAGCAACAAAACCTGAAATTACTGTAGCATCTTCTGCATGATCTCCATTATGATTCTGTTCTGAGTTCTGACATTACTGGAAAAAATATGCCTCTTTTATGAATAGTAGTAAATAATAGTATTTCATTATCCGTGTATCATAGTTCCTACAAAGGAGTGCACCCATACAGTGGGACCTGTATGGCCCTACCACAAGGTCACAGCCCTTGCAGAGTTGACAGTCCAAGTGTAAGGTTACAGGCAGAGCTGACAAGATAAGAAAAAGGCAGACCAGTGCTGGAAGAAGGGAGAAAAAGGACTGAGTTCCAGGAATACAAAGCTTCCAGGAGAATTGCCCAGACTAACTGCAAACACAGAAACTGCACCTCAGCTCAGCAGGGACTGATGAAGCAAACAGTGAGAATGAGAAAAAGAAAATTTTATCAGATGCATTGCTTACACTGGAAGCATTCCAATAGATCCATGATAGATACCTTCAGCTTCTCCCACTCTTCCAGCTGTCTGTTGAAGAGGTGCTGAATCTGACCAGTGGAAGAGCTGAGTTTCTGCTCATGTTCTTTTAAAAGACTATCCACTGCCAACTGGGAGACAGAAGAGAGCTCCTCCTCAAACCACTTCAGCTGATCCTGGAATTCTTTTGAGGAAAAAATAGGGGGTGTGACACAGAACTATTAATTGCAAGGAAAAAAACCCCACTCAGTCCAGTTGAATACCCACTGCAAGGGTCAAATAGACTGGAATTTTCTCTCAGAGATTCTCTCTCTACCATTCCTTTCCTTAGGTCAAATGCTTTGAGAAACATACACTTGCTTAAAGATATGACCTATACAGGTCTTTCAACTTAGTCAAGCACCCTTCTGGTATGATTTTTGTAGCTGAGAATACTTTAAAAAGAATATTGGCTCAAGTTCCAGTGAAATCAACTGGAATTTTTTCCACTGAGTGTGATGGATTAAGACAAAGACCTAATTCTTGGTCACTGCAGTTTTCAGCTTACATATCAAAAAACTACATACACAAGAGGTTAAAAGTCTTAAATGAATGAATTTACCTTTAAGACAGAAATTGTAGTAATCATCTGCCTGCCTTTTGTATGACAATAGTTTCTGTCTGAGCATTTCTGCCCAATCTTCAAAAGTCTCTGGCAGATCTTTAGGTATTCCCATCTGAGCTGTCTTTACTCCATAAAAATCCTACAGAAGGGCACAAAAAAACAGATAAATTGTTGATAACACATTCAAATGACTCACATCTAAGTATGTAACAGTAGGAAAAGGAAGGAAAATTTTTGGATGGTCTGAAAAGTATGGAAAAGAATCAAATTATTTCTCTGACACAGAAGGGGAACTATGAAAGCAACAGTGATGTAAGAACACAAGGTATTCTTACCTCACCAAGGCCAAGCAAGGTGTTGCTACCTGTCCAGAGAATATTCATAATAATCCCCTTAAAAGTACTGAAAACAAACAAAATTTTAAAAAAATTTTAAATACTATCACACTGTAAAATGATCACATTGGCAATATTCACTGCTATTCAAATATTACATTGAGGTTAATTTTAATACATTTTTCAGAGTATACAAAAACAAATATTCAGAATGCCTAAGATCCCTCCCCCACATTAGCACTGGTTCTCTTCAGAAGCAGTCAGGACTTGGAGCTATTGTAAATGATGACTAGAGAGCACTGCCACATCAAAAAGCAATCCTAGCCAACTTTCTGTACCTAACTTACCTTAAGAGGTGGCCATGCATTGTAGATAAACCAAAAATATTTGAAGGTGGGTCTAGCTGTTTACTGGAATTATTTTAAAACACAATGGGGAATAAAATTCCCAAGTGCTTAAACATCTTAAGCGTTAATTTGAATAGCTTTGCATAGCACATACAAAATATGTCAGTTCTGTAGAGTACAGCTGCACAGATACAGTTGTCCTAGAGAAGGGGAATGGGACCTGTTTGCTCCATGTTTCTTTCTAACAATGGAATATTGACCACAAGAACGTAGCATATAAGATCTATTGGTCTTCTCAGATGTGAAAATAATGGAAAGACAGGCTATTTCACATTCCCCACCCCCTTTTTGTAAATGTGCAAAATGGGCTCCAATGAGACCTCCCATTTCAGACATTAAACAGAATAAAACAGATGACCTTTTATTTTCATTATTAGGATGTTACAAAAAGGAACTGTTCTGTAAGCACTTTGACCAAAAAATATGAAGGCTGAATATCTCAAAATTCAATCGTCAACTCTACAGGTCACAATGATAGATAGATACATAGACAGATAGATAGACAGATACATACATACATAGATTAGATAGATAGAGGGTTTTTTCAGATTAACTTCTTCTTCTGCAAATACACATGACTTACTCAGACTTTGGAGGCTTCTTTTCAAATAATTGGTATCTCTTGTCCTTGACAATGGATTTGGAGCTTTTCTTTTCGCTAGGAAGGAAAAACATTAATTTGATACTATCCACAAGTGTTTTGCTTCTCTGGCTGATAACTGGAGAGAGACTGAAGAAAAAAATCATAAAAATATAACTCTAAAACTAGTATTATGTGTGTCCTGGTTCTGGCCAGGACAGGGTTAATTTTTGCAGTAGCCAGGAGGTGGCATGGCCAGGACCTGGAGGTTATTCTGTACCACCTCCTGTGATTGCCAGGGGTAGGGAAAGGGGTATTGTCGGGGCTTTCCTTGTGGTGAGCATCACCTGTGAATCCTTCGCCTCTCTTGTACACTTTGTTATTCATATTGTTGCCATTTCTTTTCTTATCTCACTGTCCTTGCCAGCCCACCACAAGGGGAAGAGGAGAGGGAAGTGAGTGAATGGTGCACAGTTTGGAGTGTTTCAGGTGGAACACTAAATAGATTTAGAATACCATTCCTGAGTCACAATATGAAAATAATTTTTTGATAGAAAAAGATTCTCAGGATTCTCTTCTAAACTCTCAGCTGTTCTAAACTTTTCTGTTGTTTTCACTGTTACAGTAGCTCATGTCATTGCTCTGTGGACTACGCTGAAGACAAACTATTTAGATGCCACACCCAAAATTAAGCCACATTGATTTAAGAGTTAGTCTGTAGTTCAACAACTTCAGAATCTAAAACAGCAGCAGACAAGGAGAAAAAGAAAAATGTTTTTCCAGCCACAATCTGGGAAAAAAACAAACAAACAAACAAACAAACAAACAAACCCCAAAGTTGATCATGTGGACATAAAGAGAGATCCCAAATGACAATCACAGATGGAAAAAAGGTTCCTACAAAAAAGCATTAAGATCTTTCAATGAACAGGCAGGGCACAAAGTTTACTTAAATTTCTGCATAGGAATATTTTAAGTGGAATTTCTCCTTTCAGGGGTCTCACCTTTTTTTTGACTTCATTTCATCCCAAGATGATTTCTTGGAGATCTGAGCTGCGTTGGATACCTTCTTCTTTATTGGAGGAAGAATGGCTTTTAGTTAACAAGGAAAGATGAAGAATATTGTATAAATGCCAATTGAAGTATTTTTTATATGGACATAAATTTTGTGTTCTTGTTTCCTTACAATATGTAGGGCACAACTACAGAAACAATTGTAACTGAAGCAACCCAGAAGTGGCAACAGCAACAAAGGTTATGTTCTGGAGACGTCACAGAAAATAGACAGACAGGAGGAGATATAAAACAACGTGAAGGTAGGAGAATGTGAACAACATGAATAAGGAGAACGAATGGGCTACATTCATAGTCTTGGCTGTGATAGGGACTTTGAATTCTGGAAGAGGCAGATAATACCTTTGAAAATGGCTGGAGAAGTCAAGCTCTGCAGAAGAGAGATGGGGAAATCAGAACACTACAATAGTTAGTACCTGGGATTACCTCTGTGCTCACATTTGAGTGGCTGATAACACACTTTGAGAAGTATCCCTGATTCCCTACATATTTTCATGACCTCTGTTCCAATTCTTTATCACTTTTCCCTTTTGCTATCACAAACAGAGATACCCTTTATAACACTATCTCATTCTGCAGCTTTCATTGGTTTAAGAGCCAAAAATCATCTTACTATTGCAAAGTAAAGATGACCAAGAAAAAAGCTGGGATGCACCACTCAGAACTAGCAGGGAAGCCACTGGTCCGAAACATGCTAGACTTGTGCAGTAAAATGATAGGAACTACAGTTTAGATGAACAGAATATATTAAAAGAAATATAGGCACACCTGGTCCTAATGAACGAGAGTGATCATTTCCCTCTTGATTTAAGTCTGGAGATTGTTTGGACGGGTCAAATCTAAAACAAAAAAGAGAGATAAGGGGCTGCTGAATATCCCATTAGTTTATGTTCTATACTACACACTACATTATATAGAGACCTTGGCAAGTTCTCCATTCCTACCATGAGCTAAGTGTGGTTAAATTTCTGAGATCATATTTAACAGTTAGGGTTACTTTTACAACCGACAGTGTATATTGAAGTACTTTAATGGGACTCACTAACTCTTTACCTGAAATTTTGGAATTTCTACAAGCAAAACTGCATTAAAATACTATTTGCAAATCAAACACTTTTCATACTCTTCACAGCATGGTTTTCAGTCGACTATGTAGCATGGAATCCCCTTTTGAGGTGATCACCTTTAAAACAAAAATTAAATCATTACATCTAAAATTGATCATTGTTCTATAAAATAGATGTCACTTATTACTCAAAAGGGGATATTTTTTGCTGTTAGAGATCTTGCTTTTAAAAAGAAATCAGTGTCAGCTAGAATGATTTTGTAATTCAGACTGATCAGAAAGTATGTAGTAGTACTACCTACTAACAGTCTATTCAGTAGGTCTGGATATACTAGGTATTCTGCAAAATATGAATTCAGGAGAACCTTTATATGCTTCTTGAATATGAATTTTAGAGCACTGTTGTGAAGCCCCTTGTAGTGTATCATGAGCCTCATGGAGAGAAGCAGTATATGGAGCAAAGAAAATATAAATTAAGACAAGGACAGAAAAATACCTTTAGGCAAACAAGTACTCACCCAGCTAAATTTTGGATAACACTTATTGCCAAATCATGAAGTGCTGAAGTATCCATTCTGCTTGGAATTAACAAGGGGAATTTTTCAGGATCCAGCCCCATTACCATCCTTTTGCTCTTATCTCTGAGACTCTCTGTTTGAACAGCAGGAGCAATGGAATCTTGTAACATCCCATCCATGGCAAGAGTGGTAAAGTCCTCCTGAAATGGGAAGAAAAATGAAGCCCTCTTGACTGTAGCAGGCAGTTAGTGAAAGCATTCCACACAGTAGCTGACTACTAAAGCAGATCTTCCAAACAGACACTATTTTGCTTGACAGGCTGAAATAAAATTTTCTGTCACTCTAGTAGCAATGTTGTTACAGTTTTACAACTCTAAAACACTTCACAGCAGTTAAGCATAGGTTCTCAAAATAATCAACAGTATTTAAAGGTATACTCTCAAAACAATGATCCACTGAGATTACAAAATAAAGACAGACTTTCCACAAAAGCAAGAATGAAAACACAACCCATTTGATAAAAACAAAATCTCTTCAGGACATGTTTAATTTTTTTAAATTATTTAAAGAAATCCATGAAATATGTATCTATGAATAGCGCTATGCCTTGAAAACAAACTCAAGAACTGAGCAACTCACTGTGTTTTGTAAACTTGGTGCTGACTGCTGATTTACTCAACCTCTTAATAAAATGTCCTAATGTTACAGTGTCTTGGACAGCTTGGTATAATGCAGATTCTTTTTTCATTTGAAAATTCAAAGCATGGATTCTGAAAAACTTTTAAAACATCTACACTAGGAAATTCTCTCAACATTAAATAAAATATAGAGAATGTTGATACTTACATTGGCATGTGGGATCATTGCTTTTTCTAAGAAGCAGTCAAGATACTGGCTTCTCTTTTTCAGCTCTTTCAACACCTCTTTAGCAAAATCATACAACTCTTCAGAAGCTGAAGCCTGAAAGATATGGTACTATAGTATTTATGAAACTTTGGCCTTTTCAAACATGCTGACTCTAGCAAACAACATCATTAGCCTCTGTTCTGTCACTAGCTTATGTACACAGACATGGAAGTAATGAGATCTCATAGAGGTTGATATTTTGGTCTGGTAAAGAGGAAAAGAGGTGGGGGACCTTCCTGAGCAAAAATTCTGTGTTTCTGCCTACCCCCCAAATGTGAAGAAACACAAGTCTACCTTAAAAATATTAGCTTATGCAATCATGCACAGCAAGTCAAATTAATAGCAATTATTAACAATTCAAAATAAATAACATTTTGTGCTGTTTAGAACTTACTTCTTCATCTGCAGTAGGATGAGCACAAGCATCTCTCTTCTGCTGCAGCTTCTCCAGGTAAGACTTCAATGTCACTGACTGCAAATTGGAATTTGCTACCTAAAGCAGAAGCAGATAGTAGGGAAGTAAAATCCCCATTCAGGGGATTTTCATAGCCTCCACCTTCAAACCACTAGAACCACTGATAAAAAAAACAGGTAAAAGTCCCTGGAACTCAGAGGAGAAGCTGAAAACAGCAATTCACAAAAGCAACACCTGATGCCCTTCGCTGTACCACACAAAAATGCTGGTCAATTCAGATGTACATACTCAATGTGCTGCAGGGCCATAGCGTTCCAGCACAGCTGCAGCAGTAAAAATAAAGTTTTAAGCTGACAGTGACAGAAAACAGGTTTTGAATTAACATAGCAAGTTACTTAATGTTTGTCCACTCTGAATTCAGCCAAAATCTCTTCAATAGAATAAAATTATTATACGGAGTTTAAGGAAAGTCCTGATGTTTCTGTTGGTACCTCTGATTTGATTTGCTGTTGTAGCCATCTCAAAGATCGCTGGACCTTCTCCATAAAGGCTCGACTCACAGAGACATCAGCAAATTTTTTTTCAGACTGCTTGATAAGTTCAGTAGCCTTTAGGAATGCCAGAAACAAGAGACAGGACTAGGTAATTTTTCACTTTTTAAAACTTATATAATAGAACCTACCATTTTTATTTCTTTTTTCCATCATGTAATTGCCAAAGAAAACAGTCTTACTGTTACAACTTAAAAGCAGGCTGACTGCAAATCACCTATATCAAGAGAAAATATAATTTCAAAGAATGAAACTCTGCATACCTGCTCCAAGCAGCTTGATTCCATTTTCTGCACATCTGTTTTGATTAAACTTTCCAAAGAGTCGATTTGCTTACTTTCATTCTGAAGATATCTGCTGAAAAACTTTACCTCTTCAGAAGAGAAGTTACCTCCCTCTGAAAATAATCTGAAAACAAAAGCAGAAGCTGTGCCTGTTCTTTTTCTCCAAGATTATTTTAGCTAAGCAGCCCTAAAATGTAGATATCAACACAAATGTGATGAAAACAGTATAATAGTTGCTTAACAGAATATTTTTTTTAAATAGCAAACTAGATGAATAACAAAACAAACTTAAATTTTAGTGTTCCGCCTATGCAACAAATACCAATGCCCAGAAATAGGTCACTATTTATAAACAAAACTTCCATGATATTTCTATACCTGCAAGTTTTAAGAAAATCTACATTTGAACACTTTAGTTTCCCTAAAGCTTCCTCCAGATGGTGTTGGTAACTCCTCACAGTAAGCCCAATTGATTCCAGATGATTGTGGAGCTGTGGTTGCAGATTGTTGCTGGAAGAAGCTGACCTAACAGCAAATAATAAAGGACAGGGAAATCATGTCAGAAGATGAACACACATGATGTTTTGGTGATTGCTGGCTGTAAAGACATGAACAAATGTCAGAATTCAAAAGTGATTAAGTGAATTCTGAAAGTAACCCCCTGAGCTAGGATGGTCTGAAGGAACACATGGAAGATTTCAGCAACAGCTGATGCTACTGAGAAATTGTCTTCAAAATCAATTAGTCAATTACTATTACTGTGCAGGTTCAGTAAAGTGGATAAAATCTAAACAGATGAAACATCTTTTCTATTTAAAGACTGCCAGCACTTTGAAAACAGATGAAAATTTCCACATGTTCAGCCCTGATTTTAATTTTTTCAGGGAGAGAGAATGAAATTCTTTACATCTTTCCAAGTTTTATAAAGTAGTCTTCATTGAATAATGATGTATTAAACAGGTTCAGAAGGCAAACCAGAAACATCTCAGACAGCAATCAGGAGTATTTAATATGGAGACTTACAGCCAGAAACACCTGTGCCACACTTACTGCTCAGTCTTAGGAGCATGGAGGAAGTCAAACTCCAAGTTACGGATTTGGGAGCCTAAGTTTGTGTTATTTAGCTGATCTAAAAATTTGAGAAATTCAGCTTTCTCCTTTTTCAGGCCTTCTCCCAGCCCTGCACAGTGGCATTCAAGACGCTCTTTGTGAAGTGACAGTTCCCCTGAGAAGGAAAGAAGTTTGACAATATGGATATTATTCTCTGTTTGCTGTGGACTACCACAATGCCCAGTGAACCTACGACCAAAAGCAGCAGCAAAATAAACAGAGCCAGACCTCGCAGTAGCTAAACCATACAAATAAAATACATTCTATTTGGTTTCTTTGACTTTTCTCCTGTGTTAAACATATATCCTTAGCAGCTCCTAATCCATTCAAAACACAAAGTCTCTTGTTTGCTCTTAGCATTCTTTTTCCTTTATTTTTGTTCATTGCTGACATCTTCATTATCTCTCTGTTCTTAGTCTTGTAACAAAAGTAAAGTGTAGTTTTGATTTTTTAATGGAAAATACATTCTCCCTGGTTTTGTAAGGGGAAAAAACCATCAATTTTGGTCTCCCTTCTGGAATGACAGCTGGATAAATCAAGAGCCGGCCAATTCCCTCAAGAAAGCAGCCAGAAAAAGCACCTGTCCTCTTTGTGGAAAAAGGGAAATTGAAAAATGATTTGCCTGTTCTCCTAAAAGAGAATTTTTTACTTTATATGTTAAAGACCAACAAATCTGCATAAAATACTTTTTTCTCACCATAAAAACCAGACAACTCTCATGCAAAAAAAGTTTTGATTAATGGCTGCTCTGTAGTTACTCAGTGATATTTCACATAGCTAAATCCTTCCTCTCGTGTTTCCAGAAGCCTGGTCCTGGCATTTCAGCTCTCTCAACTCGCTAATTCTTTCTCTGCAACACTCGTAGAATTATTTTTTGTACAATAAAAACTCTTGTTAAATAATTTTGAGACGAATGAGAATTCACAAACATTGACAATGCAGTGTTCTTCATCTTGTACAATCCAGTTGTTGATCAAGGCATTCCCATCTATTTTTCCAAACATAACACAGCACAAACCAGGAAAAGGTATAGAAATATCATTCTGAAAATATATGAGTAACACATTATACTGGGAATTTGCAGATACTCAACTGCTTCCTTGCTCAGCTGTTCTTTACAACTGAGTCAACTAATGCTGAGACAGTTTAGGCCCACTTATGATCATCTCTAAACAAAGACATACAATGCTCAGAGTAAAAAAAAAATCAGCACCAGCTCGAACGTTGTAGATATTTGTCTGTATCTCCTCCTGCTTTTGTTGATGCAACTGACGATGCAGCAAAAGTATTGAATTCAGCTCCTCTTTCTTGGCAGCCACAAAGACATGGGAGTTGGACAAGGATTCTGCAAACCATTTCTCCAAGTGTTCAAAAAAGCAGAGGCGAATCCTATGATTGAAAAAGAAATATTACAGTGAGGAACACTAAATAATAAATAAGAATTTATTAAATACATTAATTCTAAGAATTTCACTTCTGACTATAGGAAGATATGCTTTCAGTACCATTTGCACTATACTGGTTAAGTTTTTGAGCTAACTGCATACTACTGAGTACCAGGCATTTTACCTTCATGGCTCTGCAGGGAATTTGGAAGTTTTACTTGTGTTTCTGTAATTTGTTTTCTCACTTAATAAATTTCCATAAAATATGAATGTTCTGTAAAGGTAAGTGCTTGTGTGGTACTTTGGAAGGATTGATACAATGCAATATAAACATTTTCTTATATTTGCATCAATTTTAAAAAGAGGAATAACATCATAAGTATACAATTATAATTTTATAATTAAAATATCTGATTATATACTAATAATTAGATAATTTTTGCCACTTCAGTATAATGTTTCTTCTAAACAGCTGAAATTTGTCTGTTACATAAAGAAGCTGTTTTCTACTCACTTTTTCTTCAGCTTGACAAACATTGCTTCTTTGAGAAGAATATATTTCAGGTACATAGGAAGTGATTCTTCCTTTTCATATTTTGTAAAATAATTCTCTGTTATATCAGTCTTTCCTGCCTCTTCAACTCCAAGGACAGTGTAAATGTTTCCACTAGCAGTGGAAAATTTCTCCATGGCAATTTCAGCACTTTCTGCCTTACTGCTATTGAACACTGCCTAGTGAACAGTTGGAAATCATTATCTGTTACCTTTAGAAGTATCAGCATAGAATCAACACATCACAAGCTAATGTAAGAATCCTAAGGATATTTAGAATAACATTTTCATTCTCAATTTGGACAACATTTATACAGCGTAAAGCAATATTTATATATGCTGGGAAGTCTCAATAGGCAAAGTCAAAGTCTTAGATGGGTTTTGATATGATAATAAATTAATGGAATTAAAGACCTGAAAAAACAATACTTAGGTACAAATAGCTTAAAGCATTCACTATGGCTTAACAACACTGACGAAAGAAAGATTTAAAAAAAAAATCCATGCAAAGGGTTTTTACAAGGGTAAAAGCAGTGCTTGTAAACAGTTTTATACACTCTATTTGTCCATAAGAAGGATCTAAACCCCTATTGGCTTTGTGTACAAACTGAGCAAACAAAGACTTTCTATTCATCCACAGCAAAAAGACTTCCTATTCCTCCTTATTTTGGGCAAGACTGCCTTCACCTTCAGTTTTATTCTCTTGTTCACTTAACTTCTGTAACGCTTACCCCTTGTTCTGCATGTTCAGTTTCTTCACTTTTATGAGGAATGCTCTCTCCATCTTCCTCTGTTTCTCCAGTTTCCTGTGCCAAGATCTCCTCATGCTCAGCTGGGTTTGTTTCTCCATCTGATCGTTGACAACTGTCTATCTCTTCTGGCACTGACTGAGAGAGCCGATTGTCCCACTCTGCTCTGTGCTGGTGTGGCCTCACCTCGAGTCCTGGAGGCAATTTTGGATGCTACAATATAAGATCTAAGCCTATTAGGGAGCGTCCAAAGGACAGAGACACAGATGGGGAAGGGACTAGAGGGGAAGCCTTATGAGGAATGGCTGAGGTAATTTGCCTTGTTCAGCTGGAGGAGACTGAGCTCAGAGCTCACTGGGGTCTGCAGCTGCAAGGGGTGGTGGAGGGGCAGCTCCGATCTCTGCTCTGTGTGAGCAGGGCCAAGAGCCGAGGGAATGGCTGGATCTATGTCAGAGGAAGCTTAGCTGGATCTCAGGAAAAGGTTCTTCCCCCAGAGGGCGTTTGGGCACTGAACAGGCTCCCCAAGGCAGTGGTCACGGCCCCCAGGCTGCTCAAGGACCCTTTGGACAATGTTCTCAGGCACATGGTTTCGTTGGTGTGTCTGTGCAGGGCCAGGAGTTGGACTCGGATGATCTTTGTGGGTCCCTTCCAACTCAGGATATTCTACAATTTTCCTCTCTTTCATTTCCTTGCACAATGCTCTCAGCTTGCTGCTTCACTACATGTTCAGCTTCTGAAGCCTCAACTAGTCATTTACAGTTAGAGCACAGATTTCCTGGTTACAATCCAAAGAGATACAATACTTACTGGATACAATCCAAAGATTGAAAAAAAAAAGCAAGCAAAAATACCTGTTTGTACCATTGAGGTATTACTTTGATCTTGAACTGTGAGGGCTATCTTGCCTTGCAAGTTCTAAAAGCAAAACACACACAAAAAACCCATTTTAAAATACAGATTTACCTGCTTATAAGAAATCCAAATCCCTTCTGAAAATATATCTATTTCAGTAAGTTATGACAGTCTTGAATAGATCACTTATTGTCTAAAGAACCTGTAACACTCAAATTCACTAATATAAGTTTGTTTCCCTGTAGTTTTCTGTTTAAAAAGCCAAATGAATTTGCTGAAATGCAGTTTATAACAAGACAAAATTTTTACCTGTCTGAAGATTTCCTTTACATTAAAATGCTGGCTGATGGATGTGCTGTAAGAAATCAACTCCTGCAAAACAGCTTCTGGGTAAGCCATTACTTTATCCATTACAACTTGGTTGAGTGTCTCATTCCTGTCAAATTTAAGGTCACTCCTTAAGAGATTCAAGAATGTACAGAAATAAAATAAATTTGACTATGGTTCCTTTAAATCCAAATTTATCTTTCTCACCAATCTCATAAAACCTTTGGGCTAAATGTTGCACTTGATATGTTTATACCAAATACAATCACATCCTGGCTTATTAGTAGAGATTAGTTCATTACAAACATATAAATGCACAAAAATTAGGAAATATTCACAACAAAGCCTTTCACATCTTTCCTTTTGGATGGGAAACCATTTAAAATCTGTGCTTATGTAAGGAATATTAGAAATGAGAGGTCAAGTTACTGTCTTCCATATCTGTTCTGTATCAGTGTTCACCTTTGAATGAGCTTTTCTGGTTTGTTTTCATTGGAAATAAAAACTAATGGTTCAAGCTGAGTCTTGGTTCAAGAAAAAAAAAATCAATGTCCACACCTATTTTCATTTACATTTGCTTTGTCTCCTAAACAAAGATAGTTATGGGGAATTTATGTACATATTTGTGATGGGTTGACCTTAGCTGGATACCAGGTGCCTTTCCCAGGCGGACAGGAGAGAGAATAACATGGAAGACAACTCAAAGGTTGAGATGAGGCACTTCACTACAGCAAAAGCAAAAGTTTGCACATGCACAAGTGAAGAGGAAAATAACAAGGTTTATTCTCTACTTCCCATTAGCAAGTGTTGTTCCAAGAAAGCAGGGCTTCAGCACATGGAGTGGCTGCTATGCAGGCAAACATTGTAAGCAACTAATGCCCCCCCTTCCTCCTCCTTTCCTTAGCATCTGAGCTGGCATCACATGGTATGGAATATCCTTGGGTCAGCTGGCCCACTTGTGCCCCCTTCCAGGATCTTCCCCTGGATTGGAGAGGGGAGAATGCTGTGCCAGCACTCCTCAGCAGTAGCCAAAACACTGGTGTGTTACCAAATCCCTTCTAGCTACCAGTGCAAAGCACAGCACTCTGAGGGCTGCTATGGGGAAATGAACACCAGCTCAGCCAGACCCAATAAAGTGTTCAAATATTCAGATAGGTGTGATAGACTGAAGTGTTGTTAATGTCTTCAACATCATTCAAAATTAAAAGAAAACTTCTTGTTAAACTGCAAGGAAGCAACTGCCTGTCTGCAACCACCAAAGGACCTTCCACTTCCAAACACGCCTCCTGACTGGAATTTGGACTGTGACAAGAACTTGAGATAAAACTATTGTCCAGTTATCTCAAGTCGGAGGAGAAGTAAACAAGGCTCAGCAGGTGGAAGAGAAGGGTTTTGGGCATGTGATGGCAAAATCTGCCCATGCTGGGAAGACCATACACACATGGGACATTCATGTGAGAGGCAGCTGAGACAGGGTCACAAACCATCAAAGACTCCCAAAGCAACCCCCCCAACTCAGTCCTGATGCTTTCCACGACCAGAGGACTGCATGTGATCCAAGTGAGGCAACAAATCCAGAGCCTGTCACAAGAGACTGCAAAGCTTCCCCACCCCAAAGTAGGTGATTGGCATCCCCTGAATGTATATTAATCCACTGGACTCTAAGTTTTGTGGGACTCTCATCCCTGAGAAGATCAGAAGAACAGGACTCATGGGACACTGCTGGGTTTCATGACTGGTGATATATTTTGTATTTTAATCTCTATCACTCTCTTTCTCCTCCCTCCTTTTTCCTAATTCTTTCTATTTATCTTTCTCTGCCTCATATTTACTGCTAAATAAAATCTATACTATTGACTTTGGCATATGATCTTGTTTGCATCTTAATTTGGGCAGAAGCATTTCTAATAACTTTAATAACCAGATCATAACAATAGGTTACATTGCCTTCTGCAATCTCACATTGTATTTTAACTTGGTCCATTACCTTTGGGGTTTTTTTTAATCATTCCAATGAGCATTAAGAGTACCAACCCCATAACTCTAACCACAATCCCACTTGTGAGGTGCAAGCATCGGCCCCTCAGGTCCACATCATTCTTCTAGCATGCCTCGACCTCCTCGGTGTGGGAATACAGCAGCTTCCTCTCAGGCTATTTAATCTTCACTCCTGCTGCTAAACCAGGGGAGTGGGATGTGCCAATTTTTATATGACTTTTATAATTGCAAATGCCTGAGACAGGTAACAAAAATATTACCAAAATAAATATTTGGGCTAACTGAAAGTTCTTAGTGAATTGTAGTCCATGCAATATTTTGAACAAGATCAAATGTGAGACCACAGGTGATGGTGCAGAGTAATTTCTGGTTCCTGTAATTCAAGAATCTGAACTATAACTTTTAACTTCTGAATATGGCATGGATGTAATGGTATACTACATAACATACTGATCTGGTATAATTTTTGAGTGATACCAGTCTTCCTTAGTGCTGCTCATAAAATATGAGCATTATTTGCCTTAACCTTGTTCAGTATGTACATTATTTCATTTTACAGTATTTCATGAAGTAACAAGCAGTGTTTTTCCACACCTTCACACTACAACAGAAACAAGACCTAAGTAGTACAGCCAACATTAAAGTATGCTTTATTTTTTAAGTTTACACTAAAAAAATTCATACCTAGTTCTAATATGATCTAAAGAAGAAAGGGCCTTCTCCATATATTTCTTCAGCTCTTCTTCACAGCTTGCCATTTTCATTTTTTCCAAAACTATATCCAGATCGGCTTTCCTCATCTAAGGCCACATAAACAATACAAGTAAAAATCATTTGGTATATACTAAAATCTCCTTAACTATTTAGGATTCAATTAATTTGATTATGGATTATGTCCATATATTTTACAACAAGAAGGGAAGCTACCTTAGTAAAGCTCATTGCCTATGAAGACCTTTTCTATATAATTAACATTTCTGACATTGTCACCTTAAGTTACTTGTTATGAGAACTTGACATCCAACCAAGACTCCATACCTGCATAAGATTTTATAATAGACTTTACAGTGAAAATACAATCTTTACCACTGTTGCCATATCAAGAATATGATATGACTGTCCACTCAGTGTGGACAGCCATTAGCAAAGATGCGCCTGACAGAATGAAACTGATTCATAGAAAGTCCAGTATAAAAGTCAAAGATTAAGTTTTTCATTTAATTTTGAATTTCAGGGGGCTCTTTGCATTAAGAAGTCCTTTCTTTGCATCATACCACATCCTTGATTTATGTCTATACCTGTATAATGGTATCCTGTTCCCATCTGCATTCATCTACTTTCTTCTGAAGTTCACCTTCCTGCTGGGACAGTTGAAGTTTATGGAAATCCCAGAGGGCCATGGCCTCCTGAAAATAGCTGTACAAGCCTTGACAACGCTGCTCATGCTGTTTAGCCATCTCCTTAAAGTCTCTCTAAAGAAAAAAATTTAAGTGACTAAGTTATTTTTAAACTGTTGGAAGGTGAAATGAATGAATAAGAGGATATGTAACATGACAAAAGTCTGCCGGGAAGTACACTGCCAGTATTCAACACGGTGAGAGGAAAAAAACATCCCAGTAAACTGTATAAAAATGTGGATTTTTATTCTACAATAAATACTGTACAATTGAGAGTATCAAAACTTCTGATTGTTCTTCTGGTACTGTAAAGTACAGAATCTCCAAGTTCTGCCATCTATCATTTTAGGAATGACTGCCCAGTCATTTTCTTGTACAGAATCATAAAAGATCAGATTGGAAGAAATTTGGGAGATTGTTTAGATCTATTCCTCTGCCTCTAGGCAGGTTGGGTTATATATAATTCATCCCTGACATATATATTTATATTACAAATATAAATTATCATATATTTATATAACAAATAAAAACCAAATCATTATGAACTCTTCTCCTTGAATCACACCAAGCTTCTTTTCTTTGTGGTGTTCACTCACACTATGGATCTCATTTTAGTGTGACATCAATAGCCTCAGATGCAGATGGCACTGCAGGTGGGAGTGCAGGAAGAACAAACAAATCCCAGGGAGTAGTAAAAATATACGTGATAAACGTACATCCATACGCTCCAGTTCTTCTTCAAACCTACGTTCTAGTTTCTCAGCCATCTGAAGCATGTCAGAATGCACAAGTTCAACATCTTTTACCGTGCAAACATTCATATCCAACAGGCTCATCTAAACACACAAAAAGCCAAGTTACTGACATGCATATAACGAATACTGTGTGGCTTTTAGAGAGTATGGCCAAACAACTTCTTGTGGTTCTGCTTGTGATGGACAGAGAAAGATTCAACCCCCCAGATCTCACATTCTGTAAACAGTACAATTCTATTGGACACAAGGAAAGAAACTGAGGCAGAGAGGTGGAATTTCTTTCGCAAAATAAGAAACTTCAAGCAACTTCTCTAACAGAATAAGACAGACATTAAAAAGTAATTTCACTTATTATCTCAACATTTGGTGGATCCTCAAATATTTTTTACTGTACTGACACTGTACACAGCTATCAACAATCCTTCCAAGAACTCCCAAAGCTGTGACGCTCACCTTGCAGACCTGCACTTTCTCCCGACATTTGCCCTGGACCAGCTCATACTTGATGCGCAGTTTCTTCACGCACTCCATACTGTGGGTGTCTGAAGGATATAGAGAAGACCACAGTCTTCTGTATTTCACAGTGCAGTATGAAATGGAAAGGTGATAGAAGCCCTGTGCTGAATCTCAGCGTAGGAACAGATCCCAGCAGATCTGCACACTTGTGCGACACAACCAGTCAATTATATAAGATGTTTTAATTCAAATCTGTTTATCATTATGCTTAAAAGTAGCAAGGTATTTACAAGTGCTATCAACTTCTCTGCTACTACACCGGCTACAAATATCACGACAGGACGTGCTCTGGAGTAAAAGAAGGCAGACACACAGAGGGAAGGCACTCTATAGGACTCAGAGAAAGGAAACATCTCCAACATTTTCCCTCTCCTTCTCCAAGAGGTAAAAAGGAGTATTTTTGTATGACTAAGAACTGATCCATTCAAAATTAACCTTCTATCTCCCCTGGATTAATTCTAACCAAGACAGTTCCAGCTAGATCTCACCATGCACAAGTACCTGTGCTGGCCAAAGGGAGGTAATGCCACAGACAATTTCTTTGGGTCCTATTGCCCACTCAAAGCAACTTGAGAAGGTATGTAAAAACACATGAAACAAAGATAAGAGCAAACATGCACTTTCAAAGCAACTGCCTGCTTTGTTACTGCCTGGAAAAAAAAGAAAGAATTGCTTGAATTCCAGACTGTTTTTATGATTTCCCAATTTACCTAAACTTTGGTTTAAATTCTCCAGAGTTCTGTACCATTCATTTATCTCAGATTTCGTGTGCATAGGAGGCATCAAGGTGCTATCAAAATAGGAAACAAGAGTTAAGTATCTTAACATATAAACCTGTCAGTTGTTAAAAGATAAAATTATGAATCAGTTTCCATACCACTGCACTTTATTTTATTTACTGCCATCTCAGCAATGAAAATAAACCAAGGAGACTGCTGTTGTTCAAGGCCACTGAACAACTGACTGACAAGGAACTAACTTGTTCCTATATTCATTGCAAAAAAAAAAGCTGTAAATATTGTAATGCATTGCATCCAAAAATGCTTGTTGTCAGGATGGATATTCAAACATAGACAGTTAGCCTTCTCCCCAGATTCTCCCTTAATTTATTACACGAATGAAATCCCATGCAGAAACAATGCCTTGACTAAAGCACCAACTTCTAGTTCTCTACTCATCCTTGTCTGTTTATTTATACCATGTTTCAAATATTAGTTAAGATTTACTTTTGCACTCCTGCATTTCTAGCTCTTGATCATCCCCGATTTAGTGTAGCTGGTGCACTGAATGAACCCAAGAATGCATTTTTTCCATTAAAAAGAGCTTTACCAAAAAAAGTTTAGGACCTGCCTACTTCTGAACTGTACAATCACACGCTGGCAGAAAGCAAAGTGCATTTTGTAGCCAAGCCCCCTATTAACTGCAGAAAGAATTGTTTCTCTTTTGCCATACCCAATGTGCTGCAAAATCCCCAGTCTCCGCTCACTAAGTACAATCTGCCCCGTTATCATATTTTCCATTTCTGTTTTCACAGTGGAATTATTCTGTATTTCTTCACTTGCCATAAATTCTCTGTAGGATGGAAAAATGATATGTATAATGAAAATGTTATATATGTGATGTCCTATGTGATATGTATCATATGTTTAATGAAAAAATGATAAAATATTACTGTTTATAGAAAACACAGATGAACACTAGTCACTTTGTGTTACTCATTCTCCAAAATATGATTATTAAATTTCTGACCTGAAACTCTGAATTACACGGTTCTTTTGGATGAGCTTCCAGTCCTTGACTCTCTCTTGCCATTTCAATTGATGAGATTTTTCCTTCTCAAGCTCTGATTTCATTAGATTAAAGAGCAGCTTGGCAGTTGCCCTCCTATTACCCAACAGTGCTCGGTTTATATTCTGTATATTAAAAAATGAAATCAGGAGTCTTTTATCAGCATACAACATAAAAAAACCATAAATTGTCTCTTCCATGCAAAATGAGGGAGAAAAGAATACAAATGATAAAGAATATCCCGCAAAACAGAAACTTCTTTTATATGTCAGTGATTGATAAGTAGAAAAAATGAATTTCAGTTGGGGAAAAAAAAGACATTCTGGGAATATTCAGATTGCTATCTTGCCCCAGATAAAACATTTACCATGGCCTCGTCATTGATGAGCTTGTGAACATCAGCTGCCAAGAAGGAAATTTCCTCCAGTTTCACTGTACACTTTTTCAGTATATCTGCTATCTGTGCAATAAAAGAATAAAGAAAACCAACA